CTTACTATATGTCAGTAATTGTTGTTATTTTAGCATGTGTGTTTGCCTCAGTGTTCTTTTTTTAGGATTACTGATAAACTAATGTAGTTTGATTTGTATTAGTTATCTATTTTAGTTTTAGTTACAGTTGTAGATGTTGTCATTTTATTAGTTTTTTATTATGTCTATATAGGTTTTTTATTAAGTTTTAGTTTTATTTAATTTGAGTTATTTCAGTACTTCAACATACAAAATGGAAATGAAATAATATATATATATATTGAATATATATATGTACAGCCACACACATATGTAGTTGTTTTTTGGTGTTTGGCTTAGTGTTACGTTAGAATCATTATTATACTCATACCTTTTGTTCTTTTAATATTTTGAATTGTTTTTAGCTTTATTTTTTTGTTTTCATTTAAATGTTTAGTTTTGAAATGTTGTTGTATGCATTTGTCATTTTTATTTAATTTCTTTTATTTTCTTAAATGTGTATATATATATAGTATTTATAGAGTTTTATCTCTTAGTTTTAATTACTTTTTCTTATTTGTAAGTCGCTTTGGATAAAAGCGTCTGCTAAATGACTAAAAGTAAAAGTAAAAAGATTTTATATTAACTTTATGTACTAAAACAACTAATACTGAAAAAAATCTAAAAACCAAAACTATATAAACTAAAACTAACAAAAATAACAAAAACACAACAAATCTGCTAAAAGTAAAATTAAGAATTTATATTTTTTCAGCATCACATTTGCAATCGCGCAAATATTCGGCTAAACAGCACTCTTCTTCCTCGTTTGCTATTGCTTAACTATACCATATGTTAGACAAAACAAGAACTTGTACAAACCTGAGACTGAGAACAACTTACTTTAAGATGCTTTTTCAAGATGCTCCTTTGAAGCCGAGGTAAACAAAAATTGCATTTGCACTGTGATGTTCCATCCTTTTTCACATTTATAAGTAAAATCATCTTTGTATTTCCATGACAGTTACGTGTTTGGCTTTCTCATTTTGTCTTGCACTCTGCAAGCCAGGTTGCTGTTTGAACCAGAACCAATAATATCCAGCGGCACGCGAGTCAAACAATCACCTTTTGCCTCATTGATTAAAATTTCCAGTCATTTTACATTCATATTAAAATAAATAAATGACATTAAAATGCAAAGTAATCACTTTGGTAATCTAAAATACTTTTCGGATGTAACTGTAATTTGATTACCACCCATTTAAAATGTAACTATAACGAAATGCAGTTACTCATATTTTGTATTTTAAATACGCTGGAAATGAAAGTGGCAAATTGTGGTGTTGCAACTATAGTCATCTTGACTTGTCTGTTTCACACCATGCTCTGTATCTTCACATTACTGCATATTTATTCATAACTCGTGTGTAAATAATATAAAACAGTCCTGCCTGCTCTGCAAATACATTTACCGTGGTATAAACAGAACAGACGACACATGATATATGTGATGATAGACTGAGACTCTAGACATGCATCAAATGATAGAACGACAGAACGACAGACAGACAGACAGAAAGACAGACAGATAGATAGATAG